GTAACTAAGTTATACCTAAGAGGTAACCTATAGGAGTTTTTAAAACATTCCCTACATATTCGAGATAAACAGTTATTAACTGTTCCTGAAAATTGAGGTGGTAATTACTCTTATATTGAAATACAATTAAGCATTACGAACATTTTTTTTTGAATGGTAATACTGATGGTTTACTCTTATTTAAATTCTCTAGTAAACAATTGTGGCCAATGTTAGCTTGCTTTGATTATTTTAATATTTTTATTGTTAGCATTTATTGTAGTGAAACCAAGCCTGATTCAGTAACTAAATACCTATTTTTTTCTTTGAGTTGAGACAATAATACAAAATGGTTTTCTATCCAATAAAAAATATAAATGTAACTGCCAAGTCTTTCTTTTGTGTTACGTTCCAGTTAGATCGTTTTTAAATTTTATATATATATATATATATATATATATATATATATATATATATATATATATATATATATATATATATATATATATATATATATATATATATATATATATATATATATGATGATTGACCTTACTATTCCGGTCAGTCTGAAGCGTTCCAGCCGTTCCAAAACGAATTTTTCCGTTCCGGCGACCGATGGGAATGCTTAAAACGTACCACGTGACTACCACGTGACTTGATGAACCAATGAGATTGTATCAGAATGGCAAAATCTGATAGGGTAAAAAGGGATGTATTATTAAAAAAGGAGCGTTCCGGCATTGTTGTACACCACGCGACCGTAAAGTAACCAATGGGCAATGGGCATTGGAAATCGGACGTCATACTCTGCGTCATAGTGTGCGGTGCGCATGCGCAACCCCCGCAAGAGGGGGTTGCGCGGCATGCGCCTTCAGATCTTAGTTGTGTCTAGACAGATCTTAGTCTCTCAGACTGGTTAGTGCGTCATCTTAAAAAAAAATGCGTACTGCGCAAGCTTGGTGCGTCAAAGGTGTGTTTTATTTAGAAAAAAAGAATACTGCGAAAGCTTAAAAGGTGTGTTAAAATAAAAAAAATAATAATCCTTTTATTTAAACAAATTTAAATCTTTTTATCTTTTTATTTAAATAAAGTTAATACGCGTAACGCATTAAATAAAAAGAGAAAAAATGTTTTTTTTTTAAATATTGTCATACGAAATTAAAATAATAAAGTCTTCAAAAAAAAAAAAATTAATATTTTTATAGTTAAAAAAAAAGAGTAATCGACAATGTAACAACAAACCAATTGCTGTAATTATATTATTATTATTTTTTCTATTATATTTTTTATGCTATTTATATTATATTATATTATATTCATTTTGTTTTTTTAGATTGTAGAACCTTATAACCCACGTGAGGACATAAGTGAGGACATAAGAACGACAACGAGAACAACAAATACAACAAGAACAAGAAATACAGCGGCGAATAAGAAATCTGTTTCAACCGATTGCCCCACCACCTCCACTACCAGAAGACGAAGAAGATGGTGATGAAGATATAGGTGATGATGAAGATGATATAGACGATGAAGAAAGAAATAATTATGAACTAAATTTACCTACAGTTTGTAATAATTTAATATTTATTTATTTTATTTTATTTGTTATTTATTTAGTTATTTTATATTGTATAGCAAAATTATAAACAATTTTTTTTTGTAGTGCCATCAATCGAATCGACCTGCATAGGTTGCTGCCTATGCTTTGCTCCGTTGAGACCGCGAAGACCTTGTTGTTCTCGTCGTTGCGGCATGCAAGGAGCATGCATAGGTTGTTGTATTTGTACATTCAACACGATGCAGGCGATTCGAGACGCGATGATGGAGAAAATAGAGGCGAAAAGAAACCTTTGGTTAAATTGATGGAATATCAAAATTGATATTTTTTTATGTATTTTTTTTAATATTGTACATAGTATATTTTATTTTTTTTTTGTAATAAATTAAAAAAAAAAAAAAAAAAAACGTTTTTTTTTATTTAAAATACAAAATGAGTTAGAGTATAATAAAAATATAGATTATTTATATGAATACGGTGAACAATTAAAAAAGCGTATAGAAAAGAAATCGTACAATTGTTCTTTATTAGATAGTGTAAAACGACAACTATCTTTACTTTTTATGAACTCCGTTCTTTTTCATACTTTTAAAATTTTTATACATTTCGTCAACAACAAAAGCTCCCTTGGGATAATTATGTACAAACAAAAAGTAGAAAAGAAATTACGACATATTTACACTAAGGATTTGTAAACGCTATTAAATTATAATAGCGTTTACAAATTAGCTATTAACAGATAGTATTACAAAAGATAAAAAAGGATTAAATGTTGAAAATATAAAAAAAGATTATTCATATGATTCAGTGGAAGAAAAAGAGTTTATTAATAAAAATGGTTTATTTTTACAAGAAGTTTATTTTTTAATAAACAATTTAGGGTATAGATATGTAGAATATCTAGAAGATAGGAAAATACTTGTAGAAAGTTTTTGTGAATCGGTACAAGTTTTACAAAACTTGTATTGTTATTTTATTATTATAAACTATTTTGAACAAAAAGAATACGTTTGCGTTAAATTAATAAAGGAAATGATAAAGAAATTAAGATATTTACAGTTTATAGGATCGTCTCCGCTTTATTTAAATAAAGATAAAAAACATTGTTGTGAGAAAATAAAAAATGTCATTTTTTATGCAGCAAAATATTTATTGTAAATAAAAAATAATACAAATATAAAATTTTTTATTAATATTTTCCTTGCGTTGGTATCTTTGCGTTGGTTTCTTTGCATGCTTCTTCATAACTAGGCGGAGCTTCATTCAAAATCCTTTCTGCAGGTGGTATTATACTTTTATAAAAACAAGCGTTTTTTTCGTCGTAATGCAAGTCTTGATATTTTGCATATAAATCCTTTCTACCGATTAATTTTAAACAATACTTAAAATAACCCAATTTCTCTTCCATAGTAGTATATTCATTTCCATCAATTTTAAGAGAATACATTCTTATAAATTTATTAAATCTAAGGCGTTGTTTATTTTTTCTGCACATCCATAAGGAATTGCCAAACAATATTTTAACGCTCTAACATTAGCATATACTAATTCATTTGACAATGACATTAAGTCTTCCTTTTTTTTTTTAATTATCTAAAAAAAAAAAAATAAGGTTTATAGCTAATATAACAAATTTTATTTAAGTAAAAATAATTATTTATGAAATATTAAAAAAAAAAATTAAAAAATTACATCAAGTAAAATAAACTTGAATATAAAGTTTGTCATTGATTATATAATTTTTGAGTTGATCATGCTTGATAAAATTATCATAACCACACGTAATGTTCGCTTCATAAATGGGTCTGTCAAAACTTTCGATATGACGCGTTGTTGGAAAGCTTAGCATCATTTCATGATGATTATTTTTGATGAAAAAATGAACATTATTCTTCATCGGCCATATCAACATGTGATCATGTTGCTATAATACGGTTCATTTGATTGCAATCGTAGAGTCATGTTATCTAAACAAATAAAAAGTTTCTTACGCGTAGGCACATCATAAGGTTTATCGCATAAAACTTCATTTTTCTTTTGTTCTAATTCGTGCTTAAACGATCCAACAATGGATCTCAGTTTATCTTTGTAGCTAGAAAAAAGCACATCATGTTGTTTACATACCATTTGCAAAATAGCTAATTTTGTTTCCAAATTTTCAATTTTCTTATCCGTGTTTGTTCCTTCTTTGATTGTTAAATTGAGTGCAGTGTTTACATAGTTCATACTTTCTTGAATCAGTTGAAAATCTTTCATTTTTCTATCAACTTGATTCTCTATTTTCTTTATATCCTCTTCTAACTTTGTCATCTTTTGAGTAGAACACGTTGCATAATGCTCATTAAAAAGGACCTTTGTGCCAAAAGATTCGTTGCACAAAGCACATTTTCGATGAGGATGTGGACCGCCACAATCACATTCAGAAAAGACCTCTTCCATTTCGTTATCATTAATCATAATAAAGTTTTTATTTTTTTTCTTTCTTCTTCTTGTAAAAACGTTTGACTGCAATGCACTTGATGCTTTAATAGTTCATGTATTGTGAAATCCTTATCACAAAAACAACAGGTTTGTAAATTGTTTGCAATTTTTTTTTAATTTTTAATCTAAAAATATAAAAAAAAATATAGTTAGATCAGCATATTAGAAAAAAACATATTAGAAAAAAAACATATTATATTAATTAAAAAAAAAACACTGCATTTATAATCGACTTTTTATTTTTATTTTTACACAGTTACAATAATAATTACAATTCCCTCTACATATTTGTATAATTTCAACTCGTTTTACTTTTTGTTTTTTCATACGTCATAGTTCTTTTTTTCTTTTTCACATTGTATTCTGATTCTGATTCTGATTCGCTTATATCTTCATCTTCTACTTGAGGTGGTGACATTTTTGTTTTTTTTTTTAACTTTTATAAATTGGCTAGAAAGAAGTATAAAAAGTGGTAAAAACAAATTACTTTCAACAAATTCACATTGAATTATCATCCATTGTAAAAGATTAGAATAAATCAAAAAAAATGGTTTCAATTCTGTTAAGTGAATTCTGTTAAGTGAATATCTTGTATCAACTAACACATCTAAAAGTATATTAATCGTAGCTAATAAATCCTGTTGCATCTTTATATAATAAGTATTTTTATTTTTTATATATGTTTCAAAACAATGACAATAAAAATAATCAAAACGTCTAACAAAAATTTCTTGTAAATATACATTACTAAAAAAAGGTGCAAGATTTTTAATTGTTTCATTAGCCATATCCATCGTTTTTGTAAATGCTAAATTTCTTTTAATAATTTCAAATAAAGTTGGTATTTTAATTAATAGTTTTTGGTGAAGAATTTTTACTTTTTTTTGTTGTTTCGATAAGCTATTTACATCTGGCATGATCATGTTATATTCTTTATAAAATTCTGAAATTCGTTGTAAATGCAAATATCCATCCATGTATTCCATGTATTCCATTTTTTTATTAATAACCTAAAAAAAGTAAAGTTAAAAATTGTCAAATAAAGTATTATATATTATTTTAATAAAAAAAAATGACCAAAGAAATAAAAAACAACAATTTTTAAACAAAAAAAAAATATATTTTAAAAAAGAAAATTTAAATATTCTCCCAAAAATAGGCTGAAATGTTCGATTAATAATTCAGCGTCTTCTACATTGATTAATTTTCTTTCCAAATTATCGATAAAAATATAAATGTCCATAAAAATGTCTCTATTTTTCTCAAAGTAAAATTTTAATATCTTCATTATTTTTATGTTTTGTTTGCTAAAATGCTATTGTATTCTTTACTTATGCTTCCGTTGACAGCTTGTTGCATTAAACGATTTTCGCTTTCTGCTTCGTTTAAAATATCATCTATAGATACGGGACAGTCATGATTAGGCGTATAACGGTTTCCGTCTCCGTCTTTCATATATTTTGGCATTGCTCCCATTCCAATCATTTTTATTAATTTTAATAGAAGAAAAAAAAAAAAAAAAGAATTTTTTAAATATAAACCTTTTTTTTTTTTTTTTTTTAATTTATTCATCATCAGATTCGGAAGTGTTTTTTTTAAATGGTATTTTTTTATTTTTAACATCTTTTAATGCTCGAGTATAACCAAGTTCTATTAAATTTTTCTTATTCCATTTTTCTTTTTTCTTTTTTTCTGTATTTTTAGTAGAGATGTGCCGGAACCAGTTTATGCCGAGTCTCCGATTCCGAGTACCCGGCTGAAAAAACTGGGTCCGAGTCCGGGTACTCGGCACCGAGTCCATTTTTAAAAATTTGGAATAAAATCTTGTGAAATCTCTAGCGCTGAACTATTCACACAAAATACGCTTTTTACGCTAACTAACCAAAAGTTATGTGGCGGAAGTACCATTTAGCAAAGCCCCGCAATACAGGGTAAGGGGCCTGAGTTGTAGGGCCTAACTTTTTTTAAAAGTTGTGCAACAGTTTTTTAATAACTATATTTAGTTTAAAATTATTTTTCTTTCCTGGTGGAGCGGGCCTAAATAATATTTTGTTATAATTGTTATCGAAATTAAAATATAAAAAATGTGTATAATATTTACCTTATATCTCTACTTTTATGATTTTTGCTCGATACGAATAAAAAGTGATTTCAGCGTTCGAAAGCATTATAAGCGTTTCATTCAAAACTAAATTGCTAAAAACTATCGAGAGTTCTAACAGAATAAAAAGAAGCTATTCTAAAACTTTTTTTCCCATTCTTTTTATTCGTATTCTCGAATTATTTCACTTAACGTTACAGTTTTTGTATCCGTATAAATTTTTTTGCAAAAATGTATTAAAAAATATTTTAAGTGAGATTGTTTTAAGTTAATAGAACTTTGTGGTTATCGACTACATAACATTTTTAGACTTATATCAAGAATTTTAATGGTTAAAGTTTAAAATTAAGGAAAAATCAATTTGAAGATACCCGGTACCGGGTACTGCAACAAAATGGCCGATACCGGGTACCCGGTAAAACAGCCGAATTGCCGGGTCCCCGAGTCCGAACCGGGTACCCGGCACATCACTAATTTTTAGCTAAATACGGACTCGAAATTAAAGCTTTTTGTTGAATGATACAATTTCTGCACATACCGTTAACATCTAAAGCGTCTACTGTTTGCAAACATGCGGAACACAACGAATTTTTAGATTTATTTTTATCCAAATCGGATTGTTTCTTTTGTTTTTTTGGAGGTTTTCTAATTTCTTCTTCTTCTTCTTCTTCTTCACTAGATTCTGCATAAGTTACTTTTTTAATATTTTTATCTTTTTTTAATTCTTTTTTTTGAGAATTTTTTTTAACATCTACAAATTCTTTTTGTTTTAATTTTTTTAAAGATTCACATTTTTGATCCAATTCCGCTCTAATGTTATTAATA